TTTGTGGGTGTTTTGGGGTGGGATTTAGGGGTGTCTTTGGGGTGGGATTTGGGTTTTGGGGGTGTTTTTGGGTGGGATTTGGGATTTTCCCCCCTTACATCCGAGGCCAGGCGCTCGTAGTCCTCCATGAGCTGCTCGTTCTCCTGGTTCACGGCCAGAACTTTGCAGATCCGATTCGCCGCCGTCTCCGCCTGCGGAAAAACGGGATTGGGAATGTGGGGCTGGGAATGGAAATAGGGGAATGGGGATATGGGATTGGGAAATTGGGATTGGGAATATGGGATTGGGAATGGGGATACGGGAATGGGAATATGGGATTGGGAATGTGGGGCTGGGAATGGAAATAGGGGAATGGGGATATGGGATTGGGAAATTGGGAATGGGAATATGGGATTGGGAATGGGGATACGGGAATGGGAATATGGGATTGGGAAATTGGGAATGGGAAATTTGGAATATGGGATTGGGAATGGGGATACGGGAATGGGAATATGGGATTGGGAAATTGGGAATGGGAAATTGGGAATGTGGGGCTGGGAATGGGGATATGGGAATGGGAATATGGGATTTGGAATATGGGGCTGGGAATGGAAATAGGGGAATGGGGATATGGGATTGGGAAATTGGGAATGGGAAATTGGGAATATGGGATTGGGAATGGGGATATGGGAATGGGAATATGGGAGTGGGAATATGGGATTGGTAATGGGGATATGGGAATGGGAATGGGGATATGGGAATGGGAATATGGGAGTGGGAATATGGGATTGGGAAATTGAATTAGGAATAATACAGGAATGGGAATATGGGATTTGGAATATGGGATTTGGAATATGGGAATGGGGATATGGGCTTGGGAAATGGGATTTGGAATATGGGGAAAAAAAAGAGGAAAAAAGAGGAAAAAAGGGAGAAAAGGGGGGAAAAGAAGGGAATAGAGGGGAAAAGAAGGGAATACAGGGAACAGGAAGGGAATAAAAGGGAAAAGGAAGGGAATAGAGGGAAAAGAAGGGAATAAAAGGGAAAAGGAAGGGAATAGAGGGAAAAGAAGGGAATAGAGGGAAAAGGAAGGGAATAGAGGCAGGGAAGGAGGCAGGGAACGCAGGAAGAGCCCCAGGGAAGCAGCACAACCTCAGCAGAGCCAGGCCCCACCTCCCACATCCCCAAGCCAAGCAGAGCAGCAGCCAGGCAGATCCCAGATCCCAGGCAGATCCCAGATCCCAGGCAGATCCCAGATCCCAGGCAGATCCCAGGCAGATCCCAGATCCCAGGCAGATCCCAGATCCCAGGCAGATCCCAGATCCCAGGCAGATCCCAGACCCTGGGCAGATCCCGGGCATTTCCCGGGCAGATCCCATATCCTGGGCAGATCCCAGAGCCCGGGCAGACCCTGGGCAGATCCCAGGCAGATCCCAGATCCCAGGCAGATCCCAGATCCCAGGCAGATCCCAGGCAGACCCCAGGCAGATCCCAGATCCCGGGCAGATCCCAGATCCCAGGCAGATCCCAGATCCTAGGCAGATCCCAGACCCTGGTCAGATCCCAGACCCCGGGCAGACCCTGGGCAGATCCCAGGCAGATCACAGACCCCGGGCAGACCCTGGGCAGATCCTGGGCATTTCCTGGACAGATCCCGGGCAGATCCCGGATCCCGGGCATTTCCTGGGCAGATCCCAGATCCCAGGCATTTCCTGGGCAGATCCCATATCCCAGGCAGATCCCGGGCAGATCCCAGATCCCTGGCAGACCCTGGGCAGATCCCGGGCAGACCCTGGGCAGATCCCATATCCTGGGCAGATCCCGGGCAGATCCCAGATCCTGGGCAGACCCTGGGCAGATCCCGGGCATTTCCTAGGCAGATCCTGGGCATTTCCCGGGCAGATCCTGGGCAGATCCCGGGCATTTCCTGGGCAGATCCCATATCCTGGGCAGATCCCAGACCCCGGGCAGATCCCAGATCCCAGGCAGATCCCGGGCATTTCCCGGGCAGATCCCAGATCCCGGGCAGACCCCGGGCAGATCCCGGATCCCGGGCATTTCCCGGGCAGACCGTGGGCAGATCCCCGATCCCGGGCAGACCCCGGGCAGATCCCGGATCCCGGGCATTTCCCGGGCAGACCGTGGGCAGATCCCCGATCCCGGGCAGATCCCGGGCAGATCCCGGATCCCGGGCAAGGGCAGCGGGCCGTGCGGGGCCGGGCTCACCTTCTGGGCCCCGGAGAAGGCGTGGTAGAAGCAGGAGACGTAGGTCATGATGGCCTTCTCGTCGGGCCGCAGCGTGCCCACGATATCTGCCCGGGGAGAGCGGAGGAGAGCCGCGGCTCCAGCAGCATTCCCGAAATCCCAGCGCGGGCTGGGAACGCCGGGAACGCCGGGAACGCCGGGAACGCCGCCCGGGACGGCTCACGGGGGGTTTGTCCCACCCGGGCCCGGCTCCTCAACGCCCCGGCAGCCGGAGGGGCTCCCCGGAGCACCGGGCATCTCACGGGGCTTGCCCCCGGATTCCCTCGGAATTCCGTGGGATTCCAGTCGATTCCCATGGATTCCCATGGATTTACCGTGGATTTACCATGCATTCCTACAAATGTCCTATGGATTTACCACGGATGCCCATGGATTGCCATTAATTTTCCATGGATTACCATGGATTTACCATGCATTCCTACAAATGTCCTATGGATTTACCATGGATGCCCATGGATTCCTACACATTTACCATGGATTCCCATGGATTCCTACACATTTCCCATGGATTCCTACAAATGTCCTATGGATTTACCACGGATGCCCATGGATTGCCATTAATTTCCCATGGATTAACCATGCATTCCTACAAATGTCCTATGGATTTACCATGGATTTCCATGGATTTCCATTAATTTCCCATGGATTACCATGGATTTACCATGGATTTCCCATGCATTCCTACAAATTTCCTATGGATTTACCATGGATTCCCATGGATTTCCACTCATTTCCCATGGATTACCATGGATTTACCATGGATTCCTACAAATGTCCTATGGATTTACCACAGATGCCCATGGATTTCCATTCATTTCCCATGCATTCCCATGGATTTCCCTTGGATTCCTACACATTTCCCATGGATTCCTACACATTTTCCATGGACTTCCATTAATTTCCCATGGATTTACCATGCATTCCTACAAATTTCCTATGGATTTACCATAGATTCCCATGGATTCCTACACATTTCCCATGGATTCCCATGGATTCACCATGGATTTACCATGCATTCCTACACATTTCCCATGGATTTCCATTAATTTTCCATGGATTCCCATGGATTTACCATGGATTTCCCATGCATTCCTACAAATGTCCTATGGATTTACCACAGATGCCCATGGATTTCCATTCATTTCCCATGCATGGATTTCCCATGGATTTCTAAAAATTTCCCATGGATTTTACATTGAATCCCGTGGATTCCCATGGATTCCTACACATTTCCCATGGATTTCCATTCATTTCCCATGCATTCCCATGGATTTCCATGGATTCCTACACATTTTCCATGGATTTCCATTAATTTCCCATGGATTACCATGGATTTACCATGCATTCCTACAAATTTCCTATGGATTTACCATGGATTCCCATTCATTTCCCATGCATTCCCATGGATTTCTCATGGATTCCTACACATTTCCCGTGGATTTTACATGGATTCCCATGGATTCCTACACATTTCCCATGGATTTCCATGGAATCCCGTGGATTCCCAAGGATTTCCCACAGATTCCCATGGATTTACCATGCATTCCTACAAACTTCCTATGGATTTACCATGGATGC